GGAGCCTTCAAGCGGACACCCAGCGAAAAACCTGAGTGCCTTTGGTCTGCGTCCAAAGTTCTCTATCTCTTTCCCTTTGTCCTTTGCAAGAACACAGAAGCTCGAAGCCACTAGCAACCTGCTCGCCTGGAGTCTGTGCTCAGCACCCCGAGCTCCACAGACACCTTGCTGCCTGGAGGTGGCGGCTTAACGGCCCAAAACTCTCAAACAACCGGCCTAAGCATGTCACCCAGCCCCACCCAAGTCGGCAGGTGACCAAGAGGCCAGGCCAGGGGGGTCCTCATGCTGATCGCTGCACCTTGGGCCCTGAACGTCATCGCGGTTTCCGTGATCGAGGGCCATCGGCACTCAGGGTTTGGCCGCGCTCCAGACTAATTCACTTCCCAGCGGATGGGAGGAGGGCAGACTGCAGAAGCAGACGGATCTGGGTTCAAATCTCTGCCCTGCTGCTCACTGGCTGTGTGACCCTGAGGAATTTGCTGAACCTCTCTGAGCCTTCTTTCCGTCACCTATAAAATGGAGTCTGCCTTGCGGCGTTGTAAAAGTTAAAAGATGGAGAGCTGGCCTGTCATGCCCGCGGCTGGCCTCTCTGGTAGGCACAGTAAGTACAGTGCCTGCGGCCATACTTGAGGAGCCCACAAAAATAGTTTACCTCGTGTAAAAACCAGCATGCATACCCTGACTGTGTTGGTGGAAAAGTGTGTAATTGGGGCAGGATTGTATTCATCAGATGTATGCAGCCATGAAACATAATTTTCAGTATGTTTTTATGGGGTAAGGGGCCCAGAACAGTCACGATGTGGCCCCGCCTAGGGCATTATAATCGTCTCCTGCGCACCGCACAGCCCTTTGTGAGCCCCATTTCGGAGGCGGAGAGCTGGGGACTCGGAAGGTCCGTGACTGCCAAGGCCACACTGCTGATAAGCCCTCAGCTCTCCTGGTTCGGTGCCTGCTTTAAATCCGAGGTCACCTTCATACAGGGAGGAACAGCAGAAGTTAACCTGGCCCCGCCTTTGCCCAAGTGTCCCCCCACCAGTAAACGTCTTTACATTAACTCGGTTCTTTATTTATTGAAATTAATCTATAATAAAAGAAAAATGTTATATTCCTACCATGAATGGAAAGCTGGGACCACTTGTCATCATTGAAAACAAAAGCTTAAGCATTAAAATTTAAAATGTTCACAATGTGACCGCCTAACATTATAGTGCGATGAAAGAGCATTAAGATCATGCAAGTGAAGGCCAGGCCATGTGAGGGTCAAGGTCATGCACATGGGGGTCAAGGTCATTCAATTGATGGTCAGAGTCTGATGAGTGAGGATAAAATCTCTATCTTTATTATAAACTAGAGGCCCGATGCACGAAATTCATGTAAGAGTAGGCCTTCCTTCCCCCGGCTGCCGGCACCGGCTTCCCTCTGGCACCCGGGACCCGGGCTTCCCTCGCAGCCCTGGCTTCATCTGGAAGGTCATCCGGAAGGACTTCCGGTCTAATTAGCATATTACACTTTTATTATTATAGATGTTCATATCTGTTCATCATGAATGTTGCTCATTAATCTTACATTTTAAAAATATTGTGTTAAATATTTTATCGTGATTACTGAGTTTTTTTTGCCTCACTCTCATCCCAGCCCTGTGTTGCATACAGAAGGAATGTGTCCCCCACTTGGATAAGCCCTGTCCTGGGTCAGTGACTTCCTGGCCTGGCCCCTTGGACTAAGTCGGAACAGGGGAGTAGCAAGCAGACTTGTACCGGGGATGTGCGGGTGGGCGTGGAGACCAGCATGGGCCAAAGCGGTCCACAAATGGATTTTGAGAACTATTTTCAAGGCTGAATTAACTTCCGGGCCTGGAGGGACCATTAACTTCTTGCTCTTAGACTCCCCTTAATGGACTGTGTGCTCACTCCCCACCCAAGGTAAACCCTCCCCTCCTCCCTGGCTGGCCCCAGGCCTGGTGTTTATAAAGCCATTTGCACTCCCAGGAGAAGGGAGAATGTATGGTGATTGTTTCGTCATTAAGTTAACTCTGCGACAACTCAGACGCAGCATGGGGGTGCCCCCAGTCCTGTCCTCCTGCTGACCCACAAGTGTCCACTGTTTGTAAATACCACCCAGCAGCGAGCAGGTGTAAGATCCGGCTGAGTGAGCCAGGCTGGGGCTGGAATGCAGACTTGCACCTTGAGGGGAGAAGGTGTTCAGGCGCAGAGTTCCAAGCGCTTCACAGGCCCTTTCTAGCAAAGCTAATTAACTCCCCACTCCCCGGGGCACCGTGCAGAGCCAGGCACAGGCATTATTGATGTGACCGAGTTTCCTAACAGCTGGTGGGTTGGGGCAGCCTTCTTGTGCTGATCTGAGGGGGCACTAGGACTTCGAGGTGTACATATGTGCATCTGAACACAGATGCTCAGGGGCCTGTGTTCCATATATATTCCATATAGGGAATATATTGTGAATGTAGGAAGCCAATATTTACTGAGTGCCTGGCATGTGCCTAGCATGGGGATAGAGGCTAGGGGTACAGACAAGATCCCTGCCCTCATGGAGCTCACAGTTTAGTTAGGACAGAAACCATAAGCAATGAACCAACTCCTTATCTCAGCCTCTCAAGCCTTCTAGGATCTGGCTCCTGGCCTTGCCTCATCTCCCACCACCCTCCCAGCCCCTTGGCTTTCTTTTATCTCTTGAACACAACAAATTTATTCCTACCCCAGGGCCTTTGCACATGTTGTTTTTCTTCTGCCTGTAGAACCCCTTTCCTGGATTTTCATATGGCTCTTTCCTTCTCAATGCTCAGTTCTCATCAAAAACATCACCCCCTCAAAGGGCCTTCTCTGACCACCGCCTCTAAATGTCCTTTCCCTGCTCTGTCGCTTCCTAGCTTTTTGCTTTGTTTTCTTTTCTTTGTAGTATTTATCACCATCCTGGATAACTTTTTGTTTCTGGGTTCGGTGCCTTTGTTCTCCATGTAAATGTGAGTTCCTTGTAAGTCAAGCCCTTCTCTAGATAAAGGAACAAACAAAAAGTTAATAAATGATTGTGACTTGTGACGCAGGGAGCAACTCCATGAGAGAGAAGAAGGCTGACAGGTGTGGCCCTTTTAGCAGAGGGGTCACAGAACGCCTTCCCTCTGGGCATTGAAACTGAAGCCTGCGGGACAGGGGGTAGCCGGCCTGGGAAGCGGTTGGGGGCTGGGAGGAGGTTTCAGACAGAGGAACAGCACACGCAAGAGAAAAACCCAAGACAGGCACATGGAGGGCATTTTTCAAGGAACTGGAAAGACTGGGTTTGAATTCCGGCTCTGCTGCCTCCCAGCTGTGTGACCCATTGGCAAGTCACCTCCCTCTCTGGGCCTTACTCTCCTCCGGGAATCATGTTATAAAAATTATGCAAGACAATATATAAAGAGTTTAGCAGGGGCTAAGTATATGTTCATTTTTACCTTTTTTCCCCTTCTCAGGGTTGCTAGGAGACACCTCTAGGACTGGCCGCATTTAAGAGGGGACCCTCTCCATCCCTATGCCCCATGCCCACTACCTTGACCACTCTCCCAGATCTGCACCCCACCTGCCCAGCTTCTTCCATTCCCACAGCCTGCCTGGCCCCCGGGGGTCTTTGTCTACAGTCTCCTCGCTGACAGCTGCTCGGAGACAGCAGTGGCAGCTTGTCCCACCTCAGCAGCTGATTAGACCCCAGATCATCTAAATCCAAAACGTGTATTCCCCCCATTTACCAGGTTAGGGTTTAGAGCCGAGAGGTGGTGATGGATCGATATCAAAGACGCCCCGCCCTTCCGTTCAAGACCAATAAAGCAATCGCACTGACCTGCCGCTCAGGTGGAGACGCGGCGAGCAGGATAATAAACGCTACCGCGTTCCTCACAGCATGGCCCCCGGAGGTCGGTGTTATAGCCCTGTTTTAGAGGTGAGGTGAGCACATTTAAAACTCAGAGGTGAGCTGAGGTGCCCGACATCCCATAACCGAGAGGACACAGCGTTTATAATCCAAGCAGGGCCGATATGAAAAACCGTTTGTGACCGGCCCAGCCTGGCCACTGGCCAGTCAGAACAGACACCAGCTAAGAACACACAGGGTGGCATACAAATCAGCCCCGAGGCTGACTTCAGTCCACTCTGCTCTGGCCCCCCCGCCCCCCCCCCCCCCCCCGGGGAAGTCATCACTGTCCTTGGGGTAAACGTGAGGGAGTTCCCTGTTAGGTCAGACAGCTTGGGTGCAGACAGGAGCTCTGGCCCCAGCGCCAGGGTGCAGAGCGTATGGTACTCAACCAAAAGATCACCTCTGTGAGGCCAGTTAGCCTACCATCGAGGGTAGGACACGGCTGGGACATGTTGTCAGATGAGCTGAGCTTGGTGATTAGCGACCCATGTGGGCCTGGGGGCACTGAAGAAAGTGAGGTCTGAGCCTTTAGGCCAAGGTTCCTATATCTGAATCCGGCTCAGGTTCCTTCACCGTATTTGCCCATAACTCTTTCCCTTCCGCTCAAGACAGCAGCCCTTGGGTCACACTTCCTGGACTTGAAGCCCAGATCCACTACCTGGTAAGCTTTGCAACCTTGACCCAGTTTCCTAATCTTTCTGGGTCTCAGTTTCCTCGTCGACGAAGTGATTACATAAATTAAACCTTCTAAGCCCTGAGGGCAGTATTGAATAAATAGATCATTTTCCCAGAATGGTTTTATCAGAAAGCCAATCGCAAGAAGCTATTAGCTTTTCTCTGACGCTTTCACACGTTGTATTGGCTAGACATTGTGCTTGGCTGCTATAGTAACAGCAGGCCCGAAACAGCAGTGGTTTCAACAAGGCAGGCAGTTCATTTTCTTCTCCTTTAAAAGGAAATCCAGGGCTGGCATGGCATGTCCCCCAAATGATCAATGCCCCGTGTTTATTTTGTCTTGCTCTGTTATCCTTAGTGCAAGGTTTCCACGATCAAGGTCACAAAATTGCTGCTGCAGCTCCAACCATCACGTGTCCATCCCAGGCATGCAGAAAGAGGAAGAGGGAAAGGCAAAAGGGTGTCTCGGCTGAGTCAACCCCGTTTTTTAAGGTACTTTTTGGGAAACTCCACCCAACTAACTTCCCACATGCTGTTGATCAGAAATGGCTTGGCAACAGTATCTGCAAAGGAAACTGGGAAATGCAGGCTGTTTTTTGTTTTTGTTGTGTTTTAGTTGGTTTATTAGCACTTCTAACAAAAATTAAAGTTCAGTTGCTAAAGAAAAGAGGGTATAGATATGGGGTGGGCAGCTAGCGGAATCTGCCTCTTTCTCTCCATGATGGTTTGTGTACTTGACGTATTCCCTCCCTGTTAAAATCATACTGATCCTTTGAGGCTTGGCTCAAATGCCACCACTTCCCCAAAGCCTGACCTGGAATCCTCTATCAGGCACGCATCTTTTCCTACCTGCCTTGCTTAACACAACAGCCCAGTGTGGCCACTGAGCCCAGAAATGTGGCTAGGGAGACCAAGTGGTTTTTTTAAGGTTACTGAATTTTAATTAACTTCAACCTAAATGAAAAACATCATTTCGTAATATAACCCGTATTGTGGCAGGCAGCGTGCACAGGGAAGGATGTGGGCTTTGAAGAAACCCCAGGATTTGGATTGGACCCTGCCACCTCCATGGGCACTGCTCTCAGTCGCTCCCCTGTATAATGGGTGCGTTTAGCACCATCTCAGGATCCGTGAGGCTGGGAGATGTGCATCCGCGCTGCCCACACCTGGCAGGGTGTGGCAGGTGGTAGGTGCTCCAGCGATGCGGATATCGCTCCTTGTATCCCCTCTGCTCCCCAGCACAGTGCCTGGGACATGGGAGGCGGCAGATCAAGGAAGGAAGCTGGGGGTGGGAGGTGGGACAGGCAAAGAACAGCTCAGCTGCGGCTGCGGCACAGGTGGGCGGGCTCACAGACTGCACACAGCCAGGATCTGGCCTGGAATGGAGGCCACCTGCTCTGGCTGGATTGGAATCTCTTCTTGGGGTGGCAGGTGGCAGGTGCACGCTGCTTGCTCGGCAGGTGCTTGTGGCTGGCAGTACCCACAGAGGCTCTGGGTTATTGGCTCCAACCACGGTGAAGGCTGTCAGAGCCCTCCCCATTGTCCCTACATTGCCCCGGAGGCCAGAGAAGAGAACCCAGCTCCCTACAGTGTGTTGTCTGGAATTAGCTAATCCTGTTACTTGGCCACTGTGTCATGCGCATTCACTCTGCACCGGACACTGTACCTGAAACCTCCACACCACACCCGGAGGGAGACTTCCATTCCCCCAAGTTACAGACGAGAGGAGGGAGGCTCAGGGAGGTGATGTTGGTTGCCCAGCTCTCCCTGACCCCAACCCTCTTCACTTGATCTCTGTGCTGTGTACTCCAGAATAACCAAAGTCCCCTACCTGTCACCCCTATGCCAATATACCAACCCTACCCCTTACCCACCAACCAAGCAGAAGGAACCCATAAGAAACCCTACAAGGAGGGGACTCACATAGCCCTAAACCCATTGAGAGTAAGGCTTACCCTGTGGCTGGATGTACATGAAAGAACTCTTTTCCTGAGTCAACAGAAAGTCAACTCAATCTGATTTATATCAAAATGAAAATATATTGGCTGCATTAACTAATATGCACAGGTTTCCAGTTTCAGGCAGAGCTGGATATAGGTGCTCGAGCAGTGTTAGACTTTGTCTCTTATTTGTTTTATTTATTTATTTATTTATTTATTTATTTATTTATTTATTTATTGACTTCATTGGTGAATAGCTTCATTCTTTGTAGGGACAAAGATGGTCACCATCAGCTCCGTGGCTGCCTCCCATCAGCTTAGCAACCCCGGTGAGAAAAGAGAGCGACTGTTCTCAGAGTTCCCATCAAAGTCCCAGGATTGACCATCACTGGACCACCTGGGTCACATGCCCAGTCCTCATCCAATCACCGGGTAGCCAGGAGAATGGACCGCACACAGGTTGTCCAGGCCCGGGACACATGCCCATCTCTAGATCTGGGGGGGGGGGGGGGGCGGGGGATCCCCTCCATCCAAACGAAGACTGACAATGAGGGTGGGATGACTTCCCAAAGGAAAAAAAATGAATGCTATTCTAAGGAGGTAAAACGGTATCTGGGCAAACCAAACAAACCATGTAGCGCGTCACCCCGCCCACCCCCAGGAAACCTTTCGGCTGTTCCACCTCTGCCTGGCCGGCTTGGAGAGAAGGGATTCTCCGTGGTGAGAGATGTTGGGAAAATTCCCCGTAGCTTTAGGAGATCAAATCGGCAGTGTCATAGTTGCCGCCAGACAGTTCTAGGGCAACTGTTTGGGAAAGACAAGCTTTCAGGAAGTGCAAAGCTTAAAGTTATCTATTCAGTTGTCTTTACAGAAGCTTTCTCTCTTGGCTGTCATGGACTTCAGTTCTTCAGAGGCATTGAAATGGGGAGATTCGTGTTGAGGGGTGATTGTCAGAAGCTCATGAGTCAGTGAACTTGATTCTGTCCTTAACTTGAACCTGGCCAAGGGAGGTAGGGAAAAGTCAGGGGCTCCCCAACCTTCTGTGACTGCACTTCTTTGGTTTTGGGGTCAAGATCACAGCCATAGACTTCCACCAGCTGACTCATAGAGTGTGGGTCAGCCTGGTGCTTCTTGGAAACCACTAAGCTGAAGAGGTTCGTGAGGTCCCCACAGCTCATTTAACATTCAGTTTCCCCCCAAAAAACACAGGTAAACCCTAAGAGCCACCACACGAGAGAACAAAATGCTTTTCAGCCCTGAATCCTTAAGCTCTGACTGTACACGAACAGTTTTTCCCCCTAAAACAGGAAATGCAGGAAACCAGCTGATTTTTTTTTTTTTTACAGGGGTGGGAAGGCTCACACGCACCCCAAATAATAAAAGCTTTGCAGCTGGGCCAGAAACTTGCCCACAGCACTTCTGGACACGTTTGGGCTGGGCCTTTGTGACATCACACCAGCAATCAACCAATGGATGGGTGGCTCCGGCTTCCTAATATGCATATTGCCAGTCCATTGGTCCAATTTCAGGGTCATCTGTATTGTGGTGGTTTCCTTATATTAGTCAAGGTTACCCATCTCAGGCAGAGGACAAACTCCACTTTTGGGCTTCCTGCCCAGCTAGATGGAAGGATCGGAATTGGCATTGGCACAATCAGTCCCTCTGGGAGAGGGGCGCCGTGGACGTTATGAAATCCAGGGGGTGTGGAAGGAGAAGGTGTTGGTAATCCAGAAGGGATGGAAACAGGGGTTGGCTCTGTGACCCCATCTTTCCTATCTTCACCCCACCAACGCCCCTCCCCTGCATTTCTTAAGTGAATCAATTACCTATTTTTTTTTTTTTTTTTTTTTTTTCAAACAGGGTCAGCCCTGAAGTTTGGGTGAGGAGAACTCAGGCGCAGGTTGCTTGAATTATGAGGCTTGATTTTGTCTTGCAGACTGGTAGCTCAGGCATGTGTATTGAACATGCAAATGTGTGCACAGCCACATGCATAATTTAAGACCCTCAAATTAACAGGGGGGAAACAATTGAGTTACTTACTGTTTTCCTGAAGCACAGTTTTCTGTGAATGTCGTAACTTTCTTTTTTAGCTGTCTGAAAGGAGGGCTGGGAAAATAGAAGGAATTTGAAGACAAAGGGTGTATGCAGCTACTAGCGACAAGAAAAATGTAGGGAGATTGTGGTATTGAACTATAGCCTGATCTCACTTGTTCAGGTAACATTTAATTTGGGTTTGGTATACTTCCCCGGCTTCCCTTGACCTTGGTGCAATAGAGAAATGTGGCATTTATTTGGTCTTCGGTTCTCAATGCCCAAGGTTTTGATCCAACAGGCTGGGACAGAAATAAATGTTAACAGTGTCCCAAGTGTTTCTGCCAGAAGAGAACCATCCTTGAGAAGGTCTGTCTTGATTTTTAAAATATTTTACCCCAATGTTCTTCACAAACCATTGGACTATCTCGGCAACTAAAATAGTTTAGCAAGCAAACTTTACCTCTTCCATTGCCTCCCATACCCAAAAGATGTGCAGAAGCCCCTAAGCCAGGGGTCCTCAAACTTTTTAAACAGGGGGCCAGGTCACTGTCCCTCAGACCGTTGGAGGGCCGGACTATAGTTTAAAAAAAAAAACTATGAACAAATTTCTATGCACACTGCACATATCTTATTTTGAAGTAAAAAAACAAAACGGGAACAAATACAATATTTGTATTTGCATGTGGCCCGCGGGCCGTAGTTTGAGGACCCCTGCCCTAAGCCATCTATACACGGATTTGAACTTGAAACTGGAGCCACCGTAACTATGAAAAGAGGTGGAGCATCCATGACAGTGCGCCTGAAGGACCTCTTAGCACAGGGGGTGTAACTGACCAAGGGCCTGACATGCCCAGCGCTGCTGCTGCCCACCAATGAGCACAGCAGCAAGATGCCAAGGCCCTGCAGAGCCTTCCTTAGACTGTCCGGTTGTGTGGGATGCTTCCACTAGACCTTCCTTCCCTCTCCTCTTTACTCAGGGTCTGATGGTCCTCCAACTCTTCTCTGACTCCTTCCTATCTTTCTCACACAGACCTTTCCCCTAATAAAATCCTCCTGCTTTAACTTCCCTTCACCTCTCCCGGGAGAACCAAGACTACTAGGAAAGGTTTTGACATAGAAATGAATAGCATCGAAGTATAACGGGGATTGCATTGTGGACCCCTTCTCTCCTTGCAGCCTGACCACCTTCTGTCGGGAGGGCAAGGGTAGAGTAAATGCCATTTCAAGAAAGCAGAGCATGTGATGTAGGGGAAGCCCATCTAGGCAGGAAGAGGAAGTGAAACCATTTTTTTTTAAAGGACTTTAGGCATCATTTGCATAAAAACAATTATATTCTATTGCCAAACCAGTCTTCTGTTTTCAGTAAGCAGACCCTCTACCACTGCCCGATACTACTTCTTTTGCTGCTCTACTTTATTTTTCCAGGTAATCAAATAATTTCTTTCCCAATAAATTCTATCATTTGAGCCACTTACTTTTTCAGACTTTCTCTGCTCACACAGTTCACATTAGAGTGTTCAAATTTCCGGATGCCATGCTGTGAGCATTGGCTAAAAATACATATGTGAGGGAGAGGGAGCAGACCTTACTTTTATATATATATATATATATATATATATATATATATATATATATATATTGTTGAGATTATTACAGATGTCCCTCTCCCCCACCCCTCCCCCTTTTTACCTCTCCACCTGGTTCCTGCCCCACCCCAGGCCTTTGCCACCCTATTGTCTGTGTCCATAGGTAATGCATATATGCATATAAGATATTTGTTTAATCTCTTCCTGCCCACCCCCACCCCCACCCCACCCTTTTCCCTCTGAGAATTGTCAGGCTATTCCATTTCCATGCCTCTGATTCTTTTTATTCACCAGTTTATTCTGTTTATTATATTTCTTATTCATTTATTTTGATTTTTAGATTCAATTGTTGATAGGTATGTATTTGTTGCCATTTTATTGTTCACTAGAGGCCTGGGGCACAAAATCTGTGCGCAGGTACGGTCCCTAGGCCTAGCCTGCGATCAGGGCCATCTTCGCCGGCTGCCAGCAGTCGGCCCCACTCCCTGCCGCCACCCACCCCGGTTCCCAGTTTGCCATTGGGCTATCGGAGCCTGCCGGCTGGGGGAAGGGACCAAGAGGTCGGCCGTTCCCACCCGCTCGCCAGTCCCGACCCCCCACCGCCACCCATCCCGGTTCCCCATTTGCCATTGGGCAATGGGAGCCTGCTGGCCGGGGAAAGGGACCAAGAGGTAGTCAGTGCACCTCATAGTGACTGGTCAAGCGGTCATTCTGGTTGTTCTGCCATTATGGTCACTGGGCTTTTATTATATAGGATATTTTTTATCTTTTTCTTCTTATTATTATTCCTCTTCTTAAAGAATACCCTTCAACATTTCATATAATACTGGTTTGGTGGTGATTAACTCCTTTAGCTTTTTCTTGTCTGTGGAGCTCTTTTATCTGACCTTCAATTCTAAATAATAGCTTTGCTGGGTAGAGTAATCTTGGTTATAGGTCCTTGCTATTCATCACTTTGAATATTTCTTGCCACTCCCTTCTGGCATAGTTTCTGTTGAGAAATCAGCTGACAGTTATATGGGCATTCTCTTGTAGGTAACTAACTGCTTTTCTCTTGATGCTTTGAAGATTCTCTCCTTGTCTTTAGCCCTCGGCATTTTAATTATGATGTATCTTGGTGTGGTGCTCTTTGGGTTCCTCTTGTTTGGGACTCTCTGGGCTTCCTGAACTTGAAAGTCTGTTTCTTTCACCAGGTAGGGGAAGTTTTCTGTCATTATTTCTTCAAATAATGACATGTTTCTTTATCACCGCATTTTGGCTGCTTCCCTGTGTTTGTTTCTATGTATTGGGTAGAGCTGCTCTGTCTCCTTGAGTTGGTAGAGTGGCCTTGTGTAGTAGGTGTTCTATAGGGCCCAGTGGCTCAGCCTCCCCAGTCACCCGAGCTGGACACTCTAGGTGCACCCCTTTGTGGGCTGTGAGCACAGTCTTCTTGTAGTTGAGACTTGATTGCTGTTGGTGTTACTGGGAGGAATTGATCTCCAGGCCAATTGGTTGTGAGATCAGCTGTGACGACAGTGGGAGAACTGCTGTATAGGAGATATCCCTACAGAGCAGGACTTGCTTCAGTGGGGCTTTGGTGCTCACTGAGTTTGCCCCTTGAGTGTGTTGCTTATGGATGTGTAGAGTTGCAATCTGGTATGGTCTGACTATGACCACTGGGTACACTGGCTCTTGGATCTGCAGGGAGGTGCAAAGTCAGCCACTGCCTAGGGCCACCCAGTAGGAGCTGCAGAGAGAGCTGCAGCTTCCTCCTCTTTGTATCAGTTTGGAAGTGCCCAGATGAGGCCCAACTGTGAAGCAAGGCAGGCTGGTGCTGGTGCTGGTGCCGGGTCTTGGACCCTTTATTGATAGGTTTGGGACTCCCTGACCCAGCTGTAGCTTGTGAGAGAGATTTTAGTGTGAGCAAGGACAGGCCATTCATATGCAAAAGCCGCTGCATGCAGCTTGGGTAGGGTTGTAAATTGGATGAGGTGGGAATCACCAGGGTGTCATAAACAGAAATGGCTGCCAGTCAGCCCTGCAACTAGGGAGGTCCCAGCATAGGAACAGTGATCCCTGTGAGCACCTCCATCTGGGAGAAAGCCACCCCCAAAGCTCCTGCCCTGATGCCAGACAATCCAGTTGTTCCTCGCATGTGTCTGTGTTTCCCAGAGGCTTGCCCTGGTGCTGGAGCTTAGAGGAAACAGGACCTTGTAACTTCAGTTCGGGGTGCCGCCTTTTAAGAGGGATAGCTGGATCTCCAGCAGCCTCTGTGTCACTGAGCCCAAATCCGCACTGGTTTTTACAGCCTGTAGTTCTTACTGCCTGTAGGGACTTCTTTCCCCAGCTCTGAGCTGGGGGTCTGGCTGGGACCCTCGCTCCTCTGGGTGGCTTCCGCAGAGATGATCTCCCTCCCAATTAAAAAAGCAGCACACGTGGGTGCTGGACCAGCCCGCTCCGCGCCTCTGCACCTCCTACCAGTCTCAGTGTGCTTTCTTCTCTACTTCTCTATTTGTAGGGCTTCCATTCAGCCAGCTTTCCAGTGGTTCTGGATGATGGTTGTTCTGTATTTTAGTTGTAATTTTGATGTGGTTGTGGGAGGCAGTGAGTATGGGTGTTTACCTACACCGCCATCTTCCTTTCTCCAGACCTTTCTTTCAATGCATTTATTTTGCTCTTTACTCTGACAATGTCTTACTCCGGGACTTCCACACAGTATGTATTTCTTGGTTTCTCGTCTCATGGAGACTAGAGCCCAGCTTCCTTTTAATTTTTATTTAGGAACAAGGGGTTCTTTAAAAGCCCTTGTCCCATTATCTTTGGGCAGGATTTGCAACCATTGTGTTTTCAGTAATTCCTCCAACTCTTGCCTTTCAGGCAGAACCACAGAAATACCACGTTCACTTTGGAGCAATACTATTTTCGAGCCAGAGGTTGGGGGAAGTCAATCAAGTCTTCCTCTGTGCAGAGAGTGCCTGGCTGGCCCTCCTGAGCTTGGCTAGTGGAGCCACATGTTGCATTGCTGGTAGCTAAAGGCAGGGAAGGCCTCTTGGCCTTCAGAGCTTCCCCCGAGAGGAGGAAGCGGGTCAGGTTGTCAGGGTAGGGACTTGGGGTCAGCCATTCCCTGGGGTTTCCATTTGGAATCCATTTGGCACCTGGCACCATTCTCATCTCCCGCACTGCTTTCTGACTTTTCCTCGTTGTGGGTGCGCTGCTGTGATGAGTTCCCAGAGCTCTTACTCTTCTGTCTGGCTCTTCATATGCTGCACCGCCTGTTCACCAGAGGTCCCAGTGCAGTGACAGTGAATGACCAGGCTGCCATGAAATCCCTGGTGCTGGCAAGTGCCTGGCACACAGTAGGTGTTTGATAAGTGTCTGATGAATGAAAGCTGCCAAGAGAGATCAGGGAAGGCTGGTGTTATTGAGTCAAGCCGGCCCGCAGGTATAGACGTCTGCTCTAGATCCGGAGGCCGGATGGACCCAGGAGACAGAGGCTGCAGGGTGCTGTGGACTTAGGTTCCTGGATTTGGCTAAGCATTAGCCCTAAGCTGCCAAGGGTGATGTAAGCAAAGACATTGATTGACGGGAACCTTCATTGAAGAGGGAAGCCAGAATTCAGTGACATGGCATGGGTTAGAAAGTCAAATGAGCCCCACTGTCCAGGAGGGAACCATGAGATCATGGTAGTTCATTCGTATTGAATGCTGGCCATGTGGCTGGGTGAGACCTGCCGGCTTAAAGACAGATGGCCGAACCAGGCCCATCAATGTCCAAACACGGGAACATGCCCAGGAACCTGGCGTCCCAGGCCCAGGCGCATAGGGCCAGGGATCTGCAGCCAGGTTGGGAGCTTGGGGTCCTTCCTAGGGGAGAGTTAGAGCCTCTTAATATCCAAGTGAACCCCAGTCCCAGCCCAAAGAGAAGTGTCAGTCAGTGGAGAGCCAGGTGGACGGATGGCACAGGAGCCAATACACAGCAGTTATTCCTGGAGAACTGAGATGTGAGATTGGGAACTTATTGTATGAAGACTTTATCCACCCATCCAGCCAATCTTCCTCCCTCCCTCCTGCTCTCCCTTCCTCTCTCCCTCCCTCCCTTCCTTCCTTCCTTCCTTCCTTCCTTCCTTCCTTCCTCCTTCCCTCCCTCCTTCTTTCCCTCCCTCCTTCTTTCCCTCCCTCCCTCCCTTCCTTCCTCCCTCCCTCCCTTCCTTCCTCCCTCCCTCCCTCCTTCCTTCCTTTCTTCCTTCCTTCCTTGTTCCTCCCTTCCTTCCTTCCTTCCTTCCTTCCTTCCTTCCTTCCTTCCTTCCTTCCTCCCTCCCTCCCTCTCTTCCTCCCTCCTCTTCCTCCCTCCCTCCCTTCCTTCCTTCCTGCCTACCAGTAGAGAAATAATGCAATGCCCAGTATCTGGTAAACTAATCGGGAACCTGATTCTTGGCATTGAGGCCCTGAAGTCTGAGCAGGGCCAGGTGTAATGTAACTCATGGCCTGATCTTTGAAGCTATGGACTGACTACCTTGTAACTCTCAGCACTAGGCCAAGGCTGAGGTGGTAGGTAAGGTATTAAGTAGACCCTGTTTTCATGGGTTGGCTAAAGCAGAAGCAGGACACCAGGTACACACACGCATGCACACCCTCACACCCCCACCCATGTTTCAGATGTCAGTCTAGCTGCCTTCCTGATATAGACAACTATTGACTGCCAGTATATGGATTATCTACCAAATGACCCCAACACCTAGCAAACTTCCCCCACCATCACTTAATCTGGGCGAAGTAACTTCTGTGTTAGCCAAAGAAGAACATAATTCGGAAAGTAAATTTGCAGAATTCAAATTACATTGTGGTTTCCAAAATCAAATAGAAATTATTATGGGTTAGCACAGAGAGTAAAGGGGTGGAGTCTGCGGAACCCGCTCATTCATACATTCAGTCACGCACTTAGCAGATGAGTGGGTGGGTGGGGTGGGGTTGCAGGGGTGTGTGTGGAGTTTTAAGCTGCTGCCCTCTCAGCTTTCTATCTTATTCTGAGCAGCAAGTGAACAAAGGGAGAAGGTTATACAGCTAGGACCTCACAAGGGAGAATCAGAGAAACAGGATGCATGTTGAGGAGGTGGGGGAGGGGTCCAGTCAGGACATGTGGTGGAGTGAGAACCCCAGATCGAGGCAGGCGTCAGAGTGGCTGAGCCCTTCTTGTTCCTGCAGGAGACCCCTTCTCCTGGCCCCAACGAGTCCCAGCCTTCCCGGTTGGATGGAGACACTTCTTCCTCCTCCAGTGGACCTGCTGCCATGTTTGTGGCTTAGCAAAGGGGGCTCAGCTCCCTGTGTCCCAGACCTGGTCTCACTCCCAGGAACTGCGTCCTAATTGCTGGGCCTGCCCGGTAACCTGGCGCCAGACCGCAGGCACCCGTGACTCGGTGCTTTGGTTTGGTGCTTTGGACTCTGAGCCAATGCCTGTCTATGATCCACCCTGCTCCGCCGAGGTTACCTGTGGCGTGGTCTGTAACCAAAACCATCCCAGTGGCTCACCTGAAGGGTTTATCTGTTCGCCAAACAAGAGCATCATTCGAAGGTAATTGTGGTGTTGGCTGAGTGGCTCAGTCATGTCATGGCCACTGTCTCCGAGAGTCTTTTGACCACTTGCTCCTGATCGCGCTGTGGCTGCCACAGCTGCGGCCATCACTTTCCCTGCCCAAGGCGGGAAGATGATGGCGGAGGCGATGTCAGCTGTAACCTCATTTGTCAAGAGAGCAGACGTCTTCTGCTTAGGCCTCATTGGCCAAAACCGGGCCACATGGCCAGATTCGCTTCGACCCATCGTGACCCAACCTCGGAGGCTGGCGCATTGCTACCCAAACACAACTGCCTTCTGTTAAGTGCTGGTCTGACGTGATGGGTTGAAGTGGGAGAATTTGGGGCATGAAAGACTTGGAAGGGGGAGAGGAGAAAAAGGTCTTCACCGGCGAGAATGAATGAAAGCTGAAGGCTAAGATGGGGGGCAGGGGGGTGAAATTTCAAACTTTCAGGAAAACAGCGGTGAGGAGAGCGGAAGCGCGATGAGGAAACAGCGAGCACAGGCTTTGTTGAGTCAGGGGCTTTCGGTCACGTGTGAGGCATCCGCTGTCCAATATTCGTGTTTATGTCCCCGCATGGTTAATTATTGCAGCCGCTGTCTGATACGGCAGCGGCCCTCCTGCCCGGAAAGCCAGGGCTGTCTGCACTTTCACAGCCCTCCATGCGGTGATGAAGCAGATCAGCTGCGAGGGGAGGCTGCTGGGACCGTCATTGCAAACCCTGCTGAGACATAGGAGCGGGAGGTGGGCACTGTGGCTGGCAGAACGAGACCAACGAGTGACGGACCAGACGCAGTGATCCAGGCTGATCCAACAGTCCCCCGACCTCGAGAGCCTGGGACCTGGAGAACCTACATATGGACACTCCCAAGGGAGGCTTCTGCTGTAGGCACGCAGCCTGCATTCCTCAACGCCACCCCCAGCGGTCCCGGCCCATCTTCTGTCGGAGGAAGCAGCCGCACAGAGGCCAATGGACTCCTTTTAAGCTTCAAGTCTTGCTTGCCGGCTCTGTGCAAGCACCTCCCCTGTTTTAACTCAGGAGTCAGCAAATGGTGGCCCATGGGCCACATCAGGACTGCCCCCTGAGGTGCGTGGCCAGCGAGCTAAGAACGTTTTAGACACCTAGACGCGGTCGGGAGAAAAATCGAAAGAAGAATAGTTTGTGGTACATGAAAATTACATACAATTCAAATTTCAGGAGCCACGAATCAAGTTTTTGAACAGCAACACTGAGATATAATTCAGTTTGTGTAGGAGGAGGTCACCGCGGGCAGGCTGTTTTCTCAGAAGGTGCCTTTTCACCTGCCGGTCTGTCACGGGCATCTTCCCATCTCAGCTAATGCAGACCCACCCCACGATTTTTTAATGGCTGCATAGTACTCCCTCCTAAGAATGTGGCTTTCACAGAATAACGCCCCTGCCCAGTAGTATATCTGGGTTGTTTTCAATAAGAAGGAGTTTTGTGTATTTTTTTAAGAAAAATAAATCATTTCAAATAACTCCCAAATACCAGATTTTGGTTTTTTGCCTTCTCTTCCTGCCTGTGAGCACATGACACATTTTTACGTGGTTGATATCATAGCGAACATTCCGTTTATATTCGGCGAAGCTTAATGTCGTGTTGTTTTATAGTTTTCTCTTACTCCGGGGTCAGCGAGCTTCACATATCCTTTGTTTGCTTGCTGGCTTTAACAATCTGTCAAGAATGCTTTTTAAAAAAAATCATTCTTAGCTTGTTGGCCGCATCAAAACACGCCTCGGGCTGACGCTGGCCATGGGTTTGCCAGCCTACAGGTCATTGTGCCGTTCCGTGTCTGGGCTGCGGGGAAGGTCTCTATGTATACAGCTTTTTCCTTCCTTTGAACCATTTCCTTTGGATAACTTCCCAGCCATGAGATGACTGGCTCGATGGAGGGCGATGTTTTTAATGGCCCCTGGTGGACGCAGCCATATGATGATAAAATTGTGCCAGCCAGCCACTTGTGAACGTACAGGCTTCTTACAACCTCACCAGCATTTGGTATGATCAGTTCACGTTTTATGCTAATTTACTCGATATGAGATATCTTGTTTTTATTTCCATATCCCATTGTTCTCAAAATAGGGCTCCCCCGCACCCCCTGAGTTTGATTGCCCTTTGTTGAGTAACTTTGGAGAACCTGAATGCTTAGAATCAGCTGAAAAGGGGCAATACCCACCCCTCGATTCAGCTCAAAGATGAGCTAGAGGCTCCTTTGGTTCAAATGCGAGTTCGCATGTAACTTCTCAGCACGTCCTGCTGCATTAGAACGAGAGAGAAGCCCAGCGAGGCCTTATCGCCCCGTGGCAGCAGAAAGGACTGGAAAGTAGGTCGAGGAATTAATCCTGCTGGTTCCAGTAATTAGAGTAGACAATGGGGTCGAAAGTTCAGGCGGAGCTGGGGAAGGCAGCCCGAGTGGCTCTGACCGGCCTGGACACACTGCCCCTTGCCCTTGGCCTGCCGTGGGGCCAGGCTTCCCCATCCGGGCGGTCCCAGCGTGCATTTTCTTTCCCCTCTCCTCTAGTTTAAAGAGACATGCTTGACTTTTCCTCCCAGGAGAAGTCAGTTGGTCCCAGAGGCAGAAATGATCCCTCTAGAGCCTTCTTCCCCCTCCAAAGGGAATTCTTGAGGTCATTCTTCAAGTTTCAGCAGCTGGCGAAGAGGTGCCAGTTCTCCATCTCCCTTCAAATCCAAAGCAACGCGAGCTGCTCCTTTGGTTTTCAATGCAGGTTCGCACGTCAGGTGCATGAAAACGATGAACAGAGAGAGGCTAGGAAGGCTAATGAAGGTGGGACTCTGGCAGAGAGATTTCAACTGAGGTCGGGGTTGAACTGAATGATAGATCCTCACCCTTTCTTACCGAGTGTTTCACCTAAAGCACCGATGACAAACTGTATTGGCTACAGAAGCCAGCTGGGTGCTGTGACTGAGGGAAGCTATCGGATGTGTGACAATAGGGAGTGGCGGGGACTATGGCGCACAAAAAATGCGTTCTTGCCCCAAAGCATTTATACTCAGAATTTTAAAAGCCATGGTTCCTGCCTGACAAAACATGTTTGCCTGCAAGGCTGAACTTGGCCCCCACGGGCCCAGCTTGTGAATTTCAGAGGAGCCAGCGGCTTCTTCCGTCTCTCAGTCATCCTCCATCTTCGTGCTTCCCCATCTCTCCACTTCCCTGTCCGTCCTTAGCTCCTCGCTACGTAGGCTCACCTTGACTCCATGTGAAAAAAAGCCAAACCTTCGCCCAAAGGATCTACTTGAGGCGGAGGTAGCACTTGTCCAGATAACCACGCTGGGGAGTCGGCTAGATAACACCGCTGTGGGCAACATTCAGAGCAGGTCCGAACATCTTCCGTTATAAGGAACGGAGATCCTCTCTGGTCCCCCCAAGCGAGAGGGGAGTTATTGTAAAGACACAGCCCTCTCTGAAACCAAACAGGAAATCAGTAAAGCACTGGGGAGCCCCCTGAGTGTCGGGGAGCCACTGGGAAGCTTTCCGAGGCTGTGATGGGGGCAGGTGCTCAGCCTCTGGACCTGTGTGCAGGCAAGTATCTTAAAGCCAGTCTGTTTCATGGGATTTCGGAGCAGATATGTCGTTCAGCTTAATAAGCTTCGGATGCTGACCGTTTTCGACCAAGTATCCAATGAGTGCCCACCAGGAATACAACCTACTGCCGAGAACCACAAAGACACACCCACCCATCTGCCTTCCCAACCAGCATGTAGCATTCAGCTTTCCACCAAGGCATCGGAAATGAGTTGGATAAAGCCTCATTAATTAACCTTAACAAGCTGTGTGTGGCCACCCATTAAGAAATGGAGGAATTCCTGCTTCCGGAATTGGAGCCCCAGGAGATGCGCCGGGGGAGTGAGAATGGGAGAAAGCTCACCTTGGCTGTCGCCTGGCCTTGTGTTTCCTTGGGGTCCAGAATGGGTCCCGGCTGGTGTTTGGTTCCTGGGTCAGAGCTGGCATATAAGCAAGTGGGATGCCCCAAGTAGCTACGAGTGGGTTGAGCCAGAGGTGGAGTCAAGGTGAGTCCTGAGAGATGGATAGTCAGGGACCGTGAATCTGAGCTGGTTGAACAAGTCCAAGGAGATGCCAGCGGCACCAGAAGCATGAGTCCAAGCCAAGAGATTGGGAAACAGGGGGAATGGGAACAGAGTAAGGAGTAAGAACGAGGGTGTGCCAGCCATGCTGGTCTTCTTGCAATTTCTTAGAAAATGCTAAAAGTGCTTTCCTAGCTCAGATCTTTGAGTTTGTGGTTCCTGACCTGGGATACGCTCCACCAGATTCTTGGCATGGCGGATTATTTTTCAGGCGTCATTGTCACTTTCCCAGTAAGGCCTTCAAGAGTCAGTATTCATTAATTCTGCCTACCCAACATCCATACAATTTTTTTTTTGGTAACAGCATCATTTCCAGTGTATTAGTCAGCTTTGCTGCAGTAACAAACAACCCCAAGTTTAGCAGCTTACAACAAGACACCTTTATTTCATGTTTGTCACATGTCAGCTGCTGTACCTCTGCTCCATGCATTTTTAATCCTGAGACCTGGGTCAAAGAAGCAGCCTTTACTTGGGACAAGTTGTCCTTATGGCTGATGGAACACAGTAAGTGACAGAACTGGATTACACAATCTCTTTAGATGCTTTTGGTTTAGCCTTAGCATATGAATGTGAGTCATATCTGCTGGTATTCCATTGGCCAAAACATGTCATGTGCCCAAGTCTGTCAGGGATGGAGAAGGCCACACCACTTCTGGGGGGTGCTGCAATTCACATGCAATTCATAGGGTGTATAATCCTGGTATAGGGAAGGGAGTAAAGAGTTGGGGGCACTAATACAATTGCTCACAATTACCTAAAAAGTGGTTGGTTGCGTATAACAGTAGAGTACTGGACAAACAATGGCTTAAAAAAAGGGGGGGTTATTTTTTTCACAAAACGAGATCTCAGCTGATTCCAGAGTTTGTTCAGCCGCACAGCAATACCCAGAAGAGTGTATCTCTGTAGTTCTCTCGGGCTGTCTCTCCTGGTTGGAGAAGGCTAATGGCTGCCATTCCAGGCTTTCTATCCACGTGCAAAGCAGGAAGAAGTGGGAAGTGGTGGTAGCAGCCACATCTGTCCCTTTTATTCAAAAACAAAGGTTTTTCCAGAACAACCCCCTGCCCCACCCTACCCCACGCCCCAGCACCTTGTCTCACTGACCAAACCCTTGTCATGTGGCCACCTCTTTCTGCAAGGGAAGCTGGGAAGGCAATGATTTCATTTTTCTTGCCCTTGACAATGGAAGCAGGAAGAAGGAAGGAGGTGGAATGCACATTCGTTCAGCCAGCCAGTGTGATCTGCCATAGAACCCTTATTCCCCCGCCCCCCACCACCATTCCATGTGGTCTTGTGCCGGGGTCCAACCCCAGCGGGTCCAGGGGTCCCCAAAGGTGTGGACGGAGTCGGCGAAGAAGGAATGACACGGAGACAGCGTTCAGCTGATCAGCAGCCTAGCCGGGATCTCTAGCCAGTATCTCCAGCCAAGTTCTGGTCTGGATCTCCAGAGAGGTTCTGCTTCAGATCTCCAGCCAGGTTCTGTGTCCATGTTCTCTTGCTAGGTTCCCCAGCCAGGTTCAGTCACCAGGTTCTAGTCAGGTTCTCTTGCCAATTTCTGTAGTCAGGTTCAGTCCAGGATCTTTTGCCATGTTCTCTCGCTAGGTTCTGAGGCCAGTTTCTGTCCAGGATCTTTTGCCATGTTCTCTCCAGCGAAGTTCTTCTGTCTCTAGAGAACGTTCTGTGTAGGTTCTGTGCCTCCTGGTTCTGTCTTCTTGGTTCCGTATTCTAAGTTCTGTGTCTTGCTGTCTTATTACATCTGTATTTATACCAGTTGATTCAATCCTATCAATCTCTATTACAAAGGTTAGGGTGTTTCTTATCTCCATTCCAGGGAGTAAAGATTATGTAGCTTAAGCATGATTGTTCATAGTTAAAGTGATTAATTACCCACCTGGCACTTAGTTAAGAGGTTTTATTCCCTCCCTAGCTTCAGGGGAAAATCCCTACCTGGGGAAACAACCTTTCTCAGAGACCTTGGTTAAAACACATAGTGCCAAGAAGGTGAGCAAACATATTAAGAACAGTATGCCATATATGCCAGGTCCCTTGAAACAGCAAGCATGGACCGGCTCCCGGCAGTCTTGGAGCAACTGTCAGTCAAGGTGCCCTGCCTGTCACCTCCTTCTCCAGCAGATCACAAATGACCCCAATGAGCCAGGAATGGGAACTGCTGGCCTTGATACAATGGTGTGTGAGGCATTAAAGACACTCTACCCCTTCTTGCTCCCTAGACCCCCAGAGTGCCTCTGCTTCCTGATCTCCTGTGCCTTTTCTAGTTTTTCCATCGTTTCTGTGAGCCACCCCACATCTTTCCCAACAATTTCCAGCATCGTTTTCTGTTGCTTGCATCCACAGAACCCTGACTGATGAAACACCCTCCTTAACCACTGGGTTTCAATGGGGCCTCTCCGGCTGTTCTCTACCGCAGTGCCGTGTGTGTGTGTGTGTGTGTGTGTGTGTGTGTGTGTGTGTGTGTGTTAAGCACTAGGATTGTATAATTGCTTTGCCTGTGTGCTTGTGTCGTGTCTTTTTCTGACAGTAGACTGCACGCTCACTGCAGGCAGGGAACTGGCACACGTGATTAACTGACACATGCCTGCTACATGACAGAGTCTTAATGAATATGTATTACGTGTGCAAAGGAGGGCTTCAGCATTTGGAGGTCAGGACTGGACTCCGCATGTCGTTGATGGGTGTGAGTTGTCTAAAGTCTGTCGTGTGGGCGACTCATTGTGGTCTAAAGTGTGCGGAGTCAGGATTGACGTCAGGGCTGCTGGCCGTGTCTGGACTATTTCAATGGAGAAGTGGGTGACTGAAGCACCCCAGAATTCGCAGAGCCTAGAACAGTGGCTCTCACATTCATTTGACCTTTGGCTCACTGAGACAAGGCCCAAGACCCTCCTTCCCGTCAAACCCCCAGCGCCCACACTCTGAACTGGGCAGTAGGAGTTCCGCAGTGTCGGCGAGCATGGAGCAGGAGCCAGACTCCCGGCAGCTGAGCTCGTGGTAAACCGGAGTAACAGACTAATTTTAGTTCTGACTAGTGAATCCTAGTAAGTCAGTCGTTTCCTAGAAAGTGGCACTTAGTCATGCACGAAGCTGGGAATCAATGGATGTGTGCGGTGTTACTCGTTCTTAGGAATCAGAGGAGAGTGTGGCTTCGGGGGATCCGTTTGTGGCCTTTAGGAGTGAGCCATAGCCCCACTGGGGGGGGGGGGGGGCTGCAGGCCCCAGACTGAGAACTGCTCCACTGGGACTTGCAGACTGCCCAGGTCGGGGGGCTGGGCTCTGAGCCCTAGCGGGGGCTTACAGACCCGAAGTGCAGCTGGAATTGTCCATAGAATGAATCAACAATACCTCCTACACACAGACAGATGACTAGATTGTCAGCGCTAGTGCGATGGAAAAAAAAAAATGCAAATTTCTTTAAAAGCCGAGAATAATTCATAGTGGCTTTTTGTTGTTAAGCCTTTTCTCAGACAGCAGGTTCATGTGCAGGTGGGTGAGCTTTCGGAGGGCTTTCAAAGGGCAGCCTGGTGCTGAACAGGGGGGTGGGTGGGACCCGTGGGTGGGAACCCTGGCTGCAGGGAGAGGTGCGGGCTTGGCTTGTGCCCCTCTCAGCTCCAGAGGCCACCGAGGAACAAACTCGGTCCTCACCTGTCCTGGTGGCAACTCCTGAGGATGGCCCTCACTTCCTCATGACCAGGCACCAGCTGGAGTGGCATTTGCATTTGTTAAATGCATGTAAAGTGCAGCTTCAGGGCTACACGTTTTTAACGTTCATTTTTAAAGTTACCTTTTGTTTTACTTTTTAATACGTTTTTATTGATTTCAGAGAGAGGAAGGGAAGGGAGAGAGAGACAGAAACATCAATGATGAGAGAGAATCATGGATCGGTTGCCTCCTGCACGCCCCCCACTGGGGATCCAGCCCGCAACCTGGGCATGTGCCCTGACCGGGAATTATACCATGACCTCCTGGTTCATAGGTCAACGCTCTACCATTGAACCACACCGGCCGGGCTAAATTACATTTTAAAAAAACATCCCCAGGAGCCCCTTGCTGGCCGTGTCTCAGCTCTGCCTGGGTTGATTTGGCTTCCTTTGCAGGCAGGACCTCCCATAGGTGGCCCAGCAGCTCCCGGCTCACAGTCTACCCGCTTAGCAGTCCTACGGAGAAAAGAAAGCCTCTCTCCCCATGGCGGCAGCCAAAAAATAGCCGCCCGTCATTGAACGCATCTTCAGAGCCAAGCCCACCTCCTGGGCACGTTAGGGGATGCTCTCATTTATTCCTCACAATGACTCTGATGTCATGGCTATTATTATCCCACATTAAAGCAAGGAGGCTGAGGTTACACAAACTAGCCCAGGGTTGCAGGGCTGCGAAGTGGCAGCCGGAGCTGCCCACGCTCTTAACAGGGCACACCCTGCTGACCGCCGCGACCGTGGCCTCTCCTGCAGCTATTCCCTAAACCTCTGGGGTTGAACAATGGTTAGTGAGTATCAGCTCTGTTCCAGCTGCTTCATGGGTATGATCTCATGCTTAGCGCCATTTCCCAGGTAAGGAACCTGGGGCTCAGAGAGGTTAATTCACTTTCCCAAGCTCACACAGAAAGAAAGTGGAGAATTGGACATTGGAAGCCAGGGTTGCTGGATTCTAAAGCTCCTCACGTGGGGCCTTTGCACTGATGGTCACTGTGCCTGAACACCCCTTCCCCAGGCATCCACTCCTTCCTCCAAATTTCTTCAGCGAGGCCACCCCTGAGGAATCTGTTTAAAACCACAAGCATTGCTTCACTTCCTCCGAATCCTCCTTACCTGCCTTTACTTTTTCTTCTAGAGCACTTGTAACCTTTCAGTACACTAGATCATTTGCTTTTTTAAAATATATATATTTTTTATTGATTTCAGAGAGGAAGGGAGAGGGAGAGAGGGATAGAAACATTAATGATGAGAGAGAATCATTGATTGGCTGCCTCCTGTATGCCCCACACTGAGGATTGAGCTCGCAAACCCGGGCATGTGCCCTGGCCAGAAATTGAACCATGACCTCCTGGTTCATAGGCTGATGCTCAGCCACTGAGCCACACCAGCTGGGCTCATTTGCTTTTTTATTATGACTTATTACTTATTTATCTCTCCCTGCTAGAGTGTAAGCTCAATGAGGGCAGGGATCTGGTAGACCCCAATTTTCTAGAATAGGGCCATGCACAGTAGTCCTCAATAAGTACTTTAATGAATGATGCTATGACATGGGTCCTGACAGGTGGCAGGTCAAGAAATCACCCCAATTTATGTCTTCAATTCTGTATCGGGTCCGATTAGAGTGGACAGGAGCATGGAGAGTGGTAAAGGTCACAAGTGGCCCAGAGCATCAGGTGGTTAGTGGGACGGGCTCCATGTCAACATAACCACTTGTGTCACAAGTGAGGATCACTATCGCAGGTCAGCCTTCTGCTGTCTTTTACTTGAGCCAACTTATCACTCCCCACTTGGACCCAGAGTTATCTTCATGACACAGGCTGGAGTCGTGGACCGAGGCAATGGATTCAGTCCCACGGGCTGAGGAAGAAAGGCTATGAACTCTCCCAATTCGTATGGTAACAGTGATGGAGATGCAAATCATCACTGACAAATCCTTACCACTGCATTTGCTTAGAATTCAGTGGTTCTCAACCTTCCTAATGCCACGACCCTTTAATACAGTTCCTCATGTTGTGGTCATCCCCAATTTCATTGTTACAAATTGAACATAATTAAAGCATAGTGATTAATCACAAAAACAATATGTAATTATATATGTGTTTTCCGATGGGCTTAGGCGACCCCTATGAAAAGGTCGTTCGACCCCCAAAGGGGTCGCAACCCACAGGTTGAGAACCGCTGGCTTAGATCATTTGAATACTGTTAAGTGATGTACTTTGAAAAGGTTCCCATTGCCCATTGCAGGGAATGAGAGGCGCAATTAGCTAATGACTAGTAATCTCGGAGGAAGAGGCAGAATGGGATAGAGTGAGGAAACAGAAATTCAGACATCGCTGTGGGATTGTGCACTGGGCATGCTTTTCTGAAGAACAATTTGGTAATAGGTAGTAAACACTAAAAATATCTAGTCCTTTTAGCCCTAGCTGGTTGGGCTCACTGGATAGAGCATCGGCCTGGGGAGTGAAGGGTCCCAAGTTCGATTCTGGTCAAGGGCATGTACCTTGGTTGCAGGCACATCCCCAGTAGGGGGTGTGCAGGAAGCAGCTGATCAATGTGTTTCTCTCATCGATGTTTCTAACTCTCTATCCCTCTCCCTTCCTCTCTGTAAAAAATAAAATATTCAAAAAATATATCTAGTCCTTTTGATCCAGCAATTCTAGGAATTTCCTAAGGATATAATCAGAGATGTGTGTGAAAATGTTCCCCCAACGTGGTTCCCTGGAGCATGAATATAATACCGAAACATTAGAAGTAACCTAAATGTCCAGCAAATGGGGATTCGTTGAGTCAATGATGCTACAATACAGTCCAAAAAAGTTACATAGAAGTATATGAAATGGCATGGGAAAACGTGGTATATTAAAAAAAAAAAAAAAAGCAGGTGTCCTGACTGGTTTGGCTCAGTGGATGGAGCATCGGCCTGCGGACTGAAGGGTCCCGGGTTCGATTCCGGTCAAGGGCATGTACCTTGGTTGCGGGCACATCCCAGTGGGAGATGTGCAGGAGGCAGCTGATTGATGTTTCTCTCTCATCGATGTTTCTAACCCTCTATTCCTCTCCCTTCCTCTCTGTAAAAAAAAAATCAATAATATATTTTTTTTTAAAAAGCAGGTGATAGAACATTATGGTCAATCTGCCATTTTGGTAAGGTTCATTTTGGAACTCTTAATTTTGGAGGAATAACAGAATGGATAAGGACAAGGGCTTTGAGGGCGCGAAGACATGAGTTTAATTCCTAAGTCCTCCACTTATCAACTTGGATGCTGTAAACCTCAGCGTCCTCATTTGTGAAATGGGGCTAGGACAGTGCCTGGACAAGACCGAGGACATGGTACGCATTAACTAGATGTTTCTAACTAAAATGGCGGGCCATAGTGTGTGTGCACGCGGGTGTGAGCGTGTGCGTGTGCGTGTGCGTGCGTGAGTGTGTGTGTAGTACTTTCGTATGCATTCAGTTCTTTCTGAACTGGGCGGGTATTGCTTTTGTAATTAGGAACACAGTCATTAACATAAAAAAAAAAGAGAGGCCGAGAGGAACCCTAAGAAATGTCATCAGGACAGAAGGAATCTCCATCCACTGTGCTAATTTGCCGTCTCCACTGCTCTCAGAGTCGTCTGTTTCGAATCATTCTGTGGCATTTTTGTTCCTCTTTTTTTCTTAAGGACTTGTTCCAAGAATTAAAAAAAAAAAAAAAAAAAAGGGAAGAAAGAAAAGAAAGATAGAAAGAACGAAAAATCCCAAAGCTTCAAGCCATGTGGGTGAGTGCAATTTGCAGAAAATATTTCCAAAATGTTGTAGCCAAAACAGGCCATGTTTGAAACCTCAGATATCTAAGCAAATTTCTAAATTATGCTTGTAAACCACATGAAGTTCCTCTGCTTAGTAACACTTTACTTGTTGGAGATAATTCAGAGAGAAGGTTCCAAGGACTTCCATTGGCTTTGCCTGTTCAGCATCCACCACCCCTTCCTCCCTGCCCCCATTGTCTGGCATCAGAATCTGGATAGTTCTCTGGGGAAGTGCTCCTCCCTCTTGATCCTTGTGGTTCAAGTGGGCCTGCTCACATCCAAGTTTTAAAGATAGGCGTAACTCAGACCTGACTAATGAGAGTGCTACATTGCTCTGGCCACTAGGATTGGCTCAAGGATGAGCATGTGACCCAAGCTGGGCCAATCAGAAACAGCCCTGGGATATTTTTGCTGGAGCGACTCAGAAATAGGTCCTCTCTTTAGACTGGGATGCTAAGCTGGTAGAATGTAAGGCTGAAAGTGCCAGGAACAGTCTTAACACCATTTAGGGAAAGCCTGCTTGAGAAGGGAGTGAACACCAAGGACAAAAAACAGGAAGTGGGCAAAGTCAGAATCCTGCTGATGTCCTTTAAGCATAGGGAGTCAGCCATGCTGAACGCTGGCAAGCACTCCTTTCTGTTCCAGCGAATCGGAGTCGTTTTTCTGTTGCTTGCCACCGAAAAAGACCTGCGGTTACAGAAGACCAGTCTGAAGTGGCAGATCCATTCATTGCATTATGTGTTTTAAGAGTGTTTCTGGTATTTCAGGTGCTAAGGACTCCATCAGTGTTTCCTACGCAGAGCTCCTCCAGGACTGGCTGCAGAGGACACCTCAGAGCTCTTTGTCATGAGCTCATTAAAGGAACCCTGGCAAAGTGCAAAGCAGCTGTCAGCTTGCCTGAAAACAGCGGTCTTGAGTAGGCCAAGCCCTTCCCCTGCTGCCCTGCCTGAAAGAATTGGGCTTCACAAAGCATTTTTCAGAGTTAGGACAAATACAGGCCTGCATTCAACACCTGGCCCAATTAATAGAGTTCTCACTATAATATTTACCTTTTCATTTGTAATCTCTTCACACGAACAAACAATAACACGAACAAAACATTGCACAAAGGTTGTGTTTTCCATGGAGAGTGACCGGCCACGGTTATGTGTTCTAACACCCTCTGCAGATAACGGTGAAGCCATGTCTCTCTCACGTTCTCACCCTGTTCCCACTCCTTTCGGTGCGTTTACCAAGCCATAGATTGCCTCGAAATGTTGAACTGTTCCTTTCTCCCTTGTCAAAGAATTGTAAAGGCCTGTCAACAGTCTAAGAGGTTGAGTCACATCAAAACGAGTCTTTGTTGACTTCCCAGTGGTAACAGGACAGGGCCAGGTCTGGGGAGATGGAAGGATGAGGACCTCTACTCCAAGTCCACCCGGTTGGGGAGATAAGAATGTGGTTTAGTGTAGAGGGGCCCCATCTACCTGAGTTCAACTCCTGCTTCTACCACTCCCTAGTTATGTCCTTGGGCAAGTTACCAAATAGGCATGTTATGATGATTAAATGAGTTAGTACAGATCAATTTCATAGAACCATGCCTAGCACTCCAAAAAAAAAAGTCAAAGTTAAAATTGTTTTTCTTTCTTGTTTTAATTTATGACTTCATAAATTAAGGTCTGGTTTTGATGTTTTCCCAATAATTCTCAGGTATATCTTGGGATCAAAAATCAGCATATTTGGTAATAGTCACATATATCCCTCAAAAATCCTTTAAGCGTCGGCCTGCGGACTGAGAGGTCCCGGGTTCGATTCCGGTCAGGGGCATGTACCTGAGTTGCAGGCACATTCCCGGTGGGGGATGTGCAGGAGGCAGCTGATCGATGTTTCTCTCTCATCGATGTTTCTAACTCTCTCTATCTCTCTCTCTTCCTCTCTGTGAAAAATCAATAAAATATATTTAAAAAAAAAAAATCCTTTAGAAAGCAGCCACATTGGTCATCATAGACCATCTCTCAATACATTAGGCTCTGACCAGCCAGAATCCCACATTGTTCTTTGGTTGAGAACCAATGAAGTGCTTTTCTTGTATTTAGGGGACATATTGTGTGAGAAATGACGGTCCTTAAACACGTTAAAAACATTTATAAACACTGGACTGCCACTCAGGGCAGCCAAGGCCACATACGAGGAGAGGTTGGTGATTGCTGAGCCTGACAAGGTATAGCCAACCTCAGGTCCCACCCAGAACTCACCCTGGACATGCACACATCCCGTAGCCTGCTATGGGAGCTGCCTGTACTCATGACACTGTTCCTCCCTCCCCAAGCACAGGTGGCTGAATCCTTGTACGTAAAAGGCTTGTGGGATGCGATATTCCTATTTTAATTTGCTTAACAGTAAGAGAGTTCAGAAATGTTAGACATCAAGGCCAAACCTAGCACCTGAGGTTCCCAACCCACCTTTACCTTGGAAGCCCTTAGGGTGAAAAGCATGAGGTCTGGGGCTCAAAGCTTGAGACCTGAGTTAGCAACCTGGACTCACAGTTTACCAAGGGGTGACCTTGGGCCAGTCACTTTATCTTCTTCAGCTTCAGTCTCTTCCTAGGAGAAAGGACATAAAAAATATAGACCACGCACAGGTACTGAGAATGGAGACAAAGTCTGCCTACGTGCTAGGTTCTAGGAAGTACATTCATGTCTTACCCACTAACTCCGTGGTCGGAAAACTGCAGCTCGCGAGCCACATGAGGCTCTTTGGCCCCTTGAGTGTGGCTCTTCCACAAAATACCACATGTGGGCGCGCATGTACAGTGCGATTGAAACTTCGTGGCCCATGCGCAGAAGTCGGTATTTTGTGGAAGAGCCACACTGAAGGGGCCAAAGAGCCGCATGTGGCTTGCGAGCCACGGTTTGCCAACCACTGCACTAACTCAATGGAGTAGGGTCTAGTGATGATGAGTAAGGCAGTCCCGGACCTCAAGAAGCACCCAGCCGCGTGGGGAAATGGATGTAGTTGCAAATGTGCAACAATACGGGGATGTGGCAAGTAAGACTGTGATTATTTTTAGGACCTGCCAACACTCCAGTCTTCTTTGAAGCTTCAAATGAAATGATCTGCCTTGTTTTGACAGTTAATGACGTTTGGGTAGCTGCTGTTTTGTGTTTTGGAAGAGAAACACACTTCGGGGGATATGTACATACACTGCCTGAGTATCTGCAGCCCCGCTCGCCGTGGCGTTGGGAGGCTTGGCCAATTCGATCAGTCTTGTTTGATTCAGGGAAACAATTGTGAATAACAGTTCATGATCAAATTAGACAGATTGGTTTCCCACTGGTAAACAGTTGCTAATCGTTATTGAGTGTTCGCTGTGCATCTTTTCTATTGTAAAGCAAGACAGCGTGGCATCCAAGGGGTCCCACCATTGACTGGCTGTGTGATTGGTGGCAAGTCTTTCAGCCTGGGTGACCCTCAGGGTCTCCTCTCGACACGGGGCAGTCAGAGTGCCTGCCTGTGGGTGTCAGCATGAGGATGCAGTGAGGGGGCCCGACGCCGGGCCCCGTGTTCAGAACTGGCGGCCAGCGTCATGGGCTTCACGGAAGAAGTCTGGGCGACACAGGTTCTGTGCTGGAAAAACCGTTGTGACCACCGCAGGGCTCCCAGGGGCCTGTGCAGGTAAATTTAAGAGAGAGGTTGGTTCTCATGCCAGCACGTAAGGCAAACAGGGATGGAATCAAATTCCCCTTGAAAATTCCTGCCCGTCGAGTAGAGTATATACGGTATTGTGTATGGCCCACTCAGGTCTGAGCACCCCTGCGTCAGACCCTCGGAGGGAATCAAAGGCATGTTTACCTGTGGCTGCCTGGCCATTCAAACCATTCCGTCTCGAAGGAAGAGGGTCTCAACTGGGGATAAGTTTGCCCTTTTGGGAACAGTTGGCGATGTCTAGAGACATTTTTTGGTTGTCGCCACTAAGGCGGGGTATGCTATTGGCATCTAGTGGGTGGAGGCCAGGGATGCTGCTTAAACATCCTACAATGCACAGAGCAGTTCCCAACAACAGAGAACGATCCCGCCTAAATGCCAATAGTGCTGAGGCTGAGAAGCCCTGTGCTGGTAACTATCAAATCCACCCTTAGGACGGGGAGGGGGGCGGAATCTGCTAGGATGTTCCTGCTTGTCACCTGGGTGTAATGAGATGCCCTATGTGAGAGCTCTTAGCGTAGGCCCTGGCACATAGCAGGTACTCAGTAAGTGGTTGCTGGGTCTACAGTTAAATTTTGCTTGAGGGGGCCACCCCATAGGCTCTATTTGTGAGATGCGGTGGAGGAGAACTCGGCCACCTGCTTCCTGTCTTTCCAAGCTGGCACTTCCTGTTTTGCCCCCCTCGGCAGTGATGGGTCTCACGGTGGTATCTTCCCTGAAGGGGAGGTTCCAAACCACCATCCAGTGCAGGTGTGTTTCTGCCGTCCCACTATTCCCCAAACTGCCTAATTTAGATTCAAGACTACTGGCCTCTCAGCTCTACGTGAAAAGCCCTCCCTTGTAGCCACATGATTTTAAAAAAGGAGCTCTCACAACTACAAACTCCATTCTCCCCCCTCCCCTAAACAGGTTGGATGTGAAACAGGAGTCCAGGGAGGAGGGGGCTGCTTGTCACTCACAAGCTAGGAAACTCTCAGGGACCGCAAAGGCAAGAAAATTGCTTTTAAAAGAAAGAAGTATTCCCATTTCATTTCGACCCCTAATGCATCACGTAACTGTAATATCGCTCCTTGTCCATCTGAAATATTAGAATACAAACAATTCCTAAGTCATTTGGACTCTATTCAAATGTGAATTCATCTCTTTAACCATCCCTCTCCTTATTTTTGAAATAAAGACGAATATTGAACATTAAGAGTCTCTTTGTGGATTTTTTTTTCACTTTGAGTTTTTTTTCTTATGGTCACTGTTGCTTTCCCCGCATCATTACTTATTCATCAGCGTCTTGAAGATCCTAAACTGGTCTTTTTCTATTTTTTCTGTTTTCCTTCATTTAAATATTGTGGACAGCAAGCCAACTGACTAATGATGAATATGATTCATGTTCAGATTTAATAAGTCTTATGCAAAGATCTTTTTATTCCAAGGATGGAAGATGTGTTGTTTCAGTAGATATGATGTCACAGTGACAAAGTGCAATGTCAGGTGACTGGATGGGTGTTAATGGCCTGGCCTGGCCATACTCACCCCGAGAGGGAGCCACACGGATGGTATCCTATTCCAGTATGTCCACAGAAGGAAGGGGAATTTCTTCCAACAGTGTGTTTCTGTGCCATGTATATTTTGGGAGGTCTCTTGAGTTGAAGTGCTGACTTGGTGTGTCTGTATAACGGAGTCAGACATGTTATGCCTTCTCCTTGACACTCTCTTTTTGGCTGGGACACCTGTGTTAGAGGGGGAAAGCATATCAGGATCCAGGAATGGCAAACACACAGCTGTTCCACCACTCTCTACACCTCTGCCTGTGGCAGACATTACCAATTGATCACAGCACACTTTTCCATAAACCATGCATGCAGACACTATCAATTGATGGCATCACAGGCATACAAAGTAGGAGAGATTTTCTGCCTCTGCTGGGTAAAGGAGGATACACTTAGAAGAGCATTGGAATGTCATCACCATCACCATATTCTTTTCCAGAAACTTCTTCAGTGCTCTAAATCCCACTTGCCCAAATGTTTGGAAGAAAAGAGGGAGAAGGCTTTGTTTTCTACACAGCAATTTGGTTTGAAAACGAGTCTCTGAGGGTGCAGAGACAAGCAAATTGAATGAATTCACCTTATTTCCTGGTGTTATTACGACAGGGATTCTTAAAATATAAGTCCCTGACGCTACTTTATCCATGAGGCCTCAGTCTGAGCTGAAGTCTTAGAAACACAATCTAGAACCAAAATTAATTCTACCATTTTATAATTTTCTCAGTCAGATGCGCAAAAAAAAAAAAAAAAAAAAAAGGATATGATTTTCAAGTACTTTCTACACTTGAGACTAAAAACAGCAGGTTTTTTTTTTTTTTAAATTTTGTTTAAGCAAATACAATCCTCTGGGTATTTACAGTAGGAGGATTTCAGTCATTGGAGACATTTTTTAAAAAGATCTCAAATAAGAATCTTTCTTTGCATTTTTTCCCCCCAAAAGGACATTTACTTTTGGAAAATGCTCCATTTAGAAAAATTGTGCCATGAATGACAACTGGCCCACAAGTTTGATGTTTTTTTGAAGGAGAGAGTGGGGTGGAGAAGGTTGGAGGTTGTGTGAATGCAGTTCTGTTCACCTACCAGCCAAGCAGGATTTGGGAGTTCATGTTCATTCATTTCTTTTCGTTCATTCATTTATTCAAATACATACTGAGGGTCTGCCTAGCACTGTGCTAGGCAATGGCATGATAGCCTGGAAGGAAACACTGCCTTAGCCCTATTCAGTTTGGCTCAGTGGATAAAGCATCAGCCTGTGAACTGAAGGGTTCTGGGTTCGATTCCAATCAAGGCCACATGACCGGTTGTGCGGGCCCGATCCCCAGCAGTCAATCAATGATTCTTTCTTATCACTGACTAGAAGCCTGGTGCATGAAATTCATGCCCTCGGAGGCGGGGGCGGGGCCCTCAGCGCAGCCTGTGCCCTCTTGCTGTCTGGGAGCCCTCAAGGCATGTCCAACTGATGGCTCAGGCCCATTCCCCACTGCGCTCGCCGGCCATGAGCCTGGCTTCTGGCTGAGCAGTGCTCCCCTGTGGGAGCGCACTGACCACCAGGGGGAAGCTCCTGTGTTGAGCATCTGCCCCGGGTGATCAGTGCACATCATAGCAACCGGTTGTTCTGCCATTTGGTCGATTTGCATATTAGCCTTTTATTATATAGGATGTTTCTATTTCTCTCTTCCTCTCTGAAATAAATTAAAAAATTAAAAAAAAAAAAGAAAGAAAACACTGCCTTAGACTGCCCACCCTTCTTCACAGGGAATGCCAAAGAATGACGCCCTAATGTCCTAAGGCAATGGTTCTCTTGCCACCACCTTCCAAGCGACATTGAGCAACATCTGGAGATATTTTTGGTTGCCACAACGGGGGAGATAGTGGGCCTGGCATCTAGTGGGTAGAGCCTAGGGATACTGCTCAACATCCTACATGCACAGGAGGGCCCCACCATAAAGAATGACCTGGCTCCCAAGGTAAGCAGCCTGGACGGGGAGAAACCTGCCCTGAGGCATCTAACGTATGTAATGGATTAACTTCTGGTTAACGGTTCTAGTTAAGTCCCATCTTTAGGAGAACTGAGGAAATGGAAGCCCAACTCATTTTCTGTCAGGCTTTTTTCTCTCTTGGAACCCTGATTGAGAAAGGTTGGTTCCATTGCCTCAGGGTGTATGGTCCATGGACTTTTGGCATCGGCATCAACCTGGGAGCTGGTTAGAGTCGCAGAGTCCCAGACCCCGCCCCAGACCTGCCAAGTCAGAACCTGCACTTTAACGTGATCTCCAGGGGATTCCTGTGCACGTCGACATTTGAGAATCAGTGTTCAATCAGATATGAAGCAGAAGCTTAAGTGATCATTTTCCTAAGTGCTGCATCTATGGGCTGACTTCTGTGGCTCCCTTAATTCGCATATGGAAATCTTAACCCCCACGTTGATGGCATTAGGAGATGGGACCTCTGGGAGGTGATTAGGTCTTAAGGGTGGACCCCTTGTGAATGGGATTAGTGCCCTTATAAAAGGGATCTCGCAGAGCTCCACGTGAGGCCACAGAGAAGGCACTAAGAACAGGGCTCTCACCAGACACCAAATATGCCAGTGCCTTAATGTTGGACTTTCCAGACTCCAGAACTGTGAGGGAAAACTGTGTCGTTTAAGTCACCTAATCTATGATGTTTTTGTTATAGCGGCCCAAGTGGACTAAGACAGCTACAGAGGTCAAGCTCCCGTGAACAATCTGCCTGCAAACAGAAGGCTGGAAGAGGAGCAGAAGCCAGCCCGGAGAAGAGGCTTCCTAGCAGAGGGAATAGCATGTGCAAAGGCTCAGAGGCAGGAGGGAACTGGCCAGCCAGAGGATCCGAAAGAAGAGGCTTTGTGTCTAGAGCCCAATGAGCAAAAGGTAAGTGGAGCTGAAACCGGCCAGGTGAGCAGAGCATGTGGGACTTTTTTTCCAGGAGCAAGTGGGGATGGTTCTCTGGGCTTGACCCCCAGGCCCTTGCCTGGTGTGGCACAGACAGGGATGCCATTGGTGGCCAGGGGACAGGGTGAGGCCGACTCCTCAGCCCTTTCACGTGGTGTTCTAAGCAGCTGAGCCAGCCGGTCACACCAGGGTCGGAATCCCATGAATGATAATTGCCCCAGGTGACCCACATCCGTGGTGAGATGGCGCAAGATCAATGCTTCTGGGACACGCTGCTCCCGACCGCTCTGACTTAAGGCCGCGGAACCATCATGCCGGTATATTTTTGTACAGATTTTGTAGTTTATGACACATTCTGGCAACGTTTAGATGCGATTTCAACGAGCCAGAATGTAGTACTGTAAACCTAAAACTGGATATCCCTTAAAGCTGCGAGGACCTGGCAGGAGACGGCTCCCAATTCCAAGCAGCTTCCAACTCCCCTGTTCCCGTCCTCCTCGAAGCATTGAAAACAAAACACAGCTTCAATGAGGGACTGCTAAGCACTTTGCATCCTACTAATGTCCCCTCTGGGCTTCCAAACTCCAAGATACCTTACACACAAGAAATGACCCCTGGTAACTGACTGCTGGGGAAAGGGGGGTCCCGGGCCGGGGTAGGAGTGGGGGTGGTTACCAGTGCAAAGATGGTGACAGAATGAATGGCCATGAAGTCATTCTGTCCTCATCCTTGTTGATTTCTGTCCACACGGGGCTAGTCTCTCGGGCTGCGTGGGGATCAAGGGAAGTCATTTTATCGCACAGACGGGATGCACTTGGCTGCCCCACTCCTCATCCTTCGCGCATTACTAATCTCACAAACCATCCATTATCCACTCGGCAACTGGCAAACGTGAACTTGGCCAGCGTCACCGCCGAACGATGAGATCCAAGTTAGAAGAAGTGGGAGAGGGAGAGAGAGAGAGAGAGAAAGCACAGAGATGAGCCAGACGGTTTCCCAACCTGTACGAACACGTCGTACTTACCAGGCCGGGCACCCGCGCCAGACGCCGTCCCCGCGGTCTGTCTTGTGCTCTGGGCCTGGGCCGTGTTTGGGGCACACAGGTCCGCGCTCCCCTCCCTTCCAGCAGATGATTGGCGTATCGTTGAGAGGTTGAGAGCCGATGAGGGATGATTTCTGGAGGAAGTTGGCCAGAAAGTTGAATTCTATAAAAAGCAGCGCGCGGTCAGGATACCGGTTCCTATTCTGAGTCAAGGCGGAGAGGAGTCAGAAATTCCAACCCAGAGGGTCAGGATGGGCTCCAGGACCTCGAGTCCCATCTGAAACATGTTCCCGCTGGGCCCTCCCTCCCCCCCTGAGCCCCCCCCTCCCCCTTCGCAGCCGGCCAACCCGGATTACACAATGCGCGCTGCTCGCTTTATCCCACATGGGCTGTTTCTCATTAGGAGCCCGGAGCTTGTTTTTCCCTGTGCCATGTCATCTCTCCCCACTCAGGTGAGTAATTCCACTTCCTAACAGGGGGATTCTGTTCACACTCCTGGCTGGACGCGACGAAGGAAAAATGAGGCTGCAGACTTCTTCCTACGTGAGAACGCTTACGCACTTTTTAACCCTGGCATCTTCCTTCCTCTGTCCGGAGTGTTGCATTTCCTCATTTCAAAGAGCTCTGCTCAATAGGAACCAGAGGAAAAGCGAACATTTGAGTCAAGCCGTGCAGTGGTTTGGGTCACCCGACATCGACAATAGTGTCTAGAGGGTTTGGTTTTGTGTGTGTGTGTTTTGTTTTTTTGTTAAGCCTCACCCAAGGATATTTTTTCCATTGATTTTCAGAGTGGAAGGGAGGGGGAGAGGCAGAGAGAGAGAAATATCGATGTGAGAGACACACATGGATTGATTGGTTGCCTCCTGCACGCACCCCAACCGGGCCGAGGATGGAGCCTGCAACCGAGGTACGTGCCCTTGACCGGAATCGACCCGCAGCCCTTCAGTTCGAAGGCCGACACTCTTACCGCCAAGCAAAACCAGGCAGGCCATAGAGGGCTTTGTTTCTCCCCCACCAGACTGGCACCTTTTCATTTTTAAACTGGATCTCACCAGAGGTTTGGGGGTGCAGAAACCAGCTTTCCTGCCTTCCACGTGGGTGAAACAAGACTCCAAGTGCAGCAGGTCGCCTCAGCTTCTCCCACCAAGCATTTAGTGGTTCTTGAGAATAGCATCAAGTTTCAGTTCAGTTTTCTGGAGGCCTCGGGGCTACGGATCGGATCTGGATGTTGGCATTTTTTTGGCCTTCAAGGCCTCAGAATGGTTCCAGGGAAACCCCAGAGTCATGAGGGGGCGTGGATTTCCCCACTGTTACCTTTCTCCATCCCCTTTCTCTTTCTGGCCGCGTATCAGAAACGGTCCCACCTCACCCACCGGCCCCCTCGTGTAGGGTGAGCCACAGGAGTGGCATGCCTGGGATTCAGCCGCATCTGGAGAATGGGATTCAGCCACAAACTGCCAAGCGATGGCTCTCTGGTCTCTGCAACTCCAGGCCCCCCTGAGCCAAAGCGAAATAGGACTCCTGCCCCGACCTCCAGGCTCCCTCCGCCTCCTGCCCTGTTTTGCTTAGAACAAGCCTGAACATGCCATGCCACCTCGCCAGGCCCTGCCAAAATCCACGAATGGCACAGAGCGCACATTAAACAGATGGAATGCAACATACATGTAAAGAAATAAGAGCTCTGCCAGGAAAGTTGGCAGCAGCCCTGGAATGCTTTAAACAGCGTGTGTGTGGGTAGAAGAGAGTGAGCCCAGAGCCGGCAAGGCTGCCTCCCTCGCTCTCAAGAGCTGTTTCTTTTACAGCCGTGACCTGTTTTGCCAGTCAAAATAAATACGGTGTTAAATGCCCCCTTTTACTGGCTCCCGATACCTTGGCCATGCCGTTTGAAACATGACCCGGTCTCATTGGAAAAATGTCCTTTTAACAGAGTAGAAAGGATGTGCCCCTTCTCGGCAGCATGTAGGAGGGTCATGGGCGGTGGAGCCTTCTGGACACAGACACACTCGGGCAGAGGAGCAGGACCGGCCATGGAGCCACACGGCTTGGTTCGAAGTCCCGCCTGGAGAAGGTTCGTTGCAGACACGGGGTGATGCCTGGGGGCTGCCTTGCACGGCTTTCTATCACCATTGGCATCAGCGAGGAACAATGGAGTGGCTGCCCGGAATGCCTGGCTACTTCACAAGGCACCTCTGAGACAGCCAGGACTTTCCTTCAGAAGGAAAAGAGCCGTGCCAGCCAGGCATTGAGCTTTGTGGATCCCCCACAGCCACAGGCCAGTCCATAACCGCATCGGCTTCTTGCCACAGGTCTGCGAAGCTAGATGGATTTGCCCCGAAGAGTCATGCCGGCGGCCGTTCACCAAGCATTTTCTGCATATCAGGCCCATCAGACATATCTTCTGAATCATCCCATTATCTCATAATATAGGCGTATTGCTGCTCCTACTTTATAGACGAAGAAACTGAAGTTCAGAGAGGGTGAGTCACTTGTCCAAGATTGCACAGCTCTTACAAAGGAGGCTGGGATTTGAACCCGAGTCAGCCTGCTCTTAATGATAAGGTTGTATAGGCCCTGTGCTGGCTTCTACCAAAACAGTTTAAGGCAGGAAACCTGCCGAATCATCTTCTTCATCCTCGGAACTACCCAGTGGAGGCAGGTGGTCGCATTCCCCATTGAAGATGCCATGGGACATGCTCCTTTTCTGAGGTGGCTGTGCCAGATGGTCACAAATTGGGGGGCTCACAAAACCCCAGAAATGTATTCTCACACAGTCCTGGAGACCTGGCTGAAATCGAGGGCTGTGCTCCCTCCGAAGGCTCTGAGGGGTGGGGGTGGGGGGCTCGTTCCTTGTCTCCACTGGCTTCTGATGGCTGCCAGCTTCCTTGGCTGTGGCCGCATCCCTCCAGTCTCTGCCTCTGACTTCCTGTGGCCCTGCCATGTGCCGGTCATCTCCCCTTCTCTGCTCTTGTAAGGACACTTCTATTGGACCTGGTCCCACTCTAATCCAGGGCGATCTCATCTCGATGAGATCCTTGACGTCATTACGTCCAGGGATTTGACTCTGGATCTTTCCTCAGGGGGGCTGGCGACTTATCCGATAAAAGTCTTTCTAATTTTGCAGGTAGGACTGCAGGGCTTATTATAAAATTTAAAAATATTTCTGCCATCTCTTATCCTCTTCTTAGCACAACGCATGTAATAACAACCAGCATTTCATGAATTCGCATCAAGATCTGCCAGTCGGTCACGTGATTTTGCCCTCATGGATACTCTGAGATACAGACACTATTTTGTCATTGCCGGACACGGCAGGAAAGTGAAACGAGAGAGCTTAAAGCCTTGTGCCAGCCCTCACAGCCAGGAACTGGGGAGGGTGGGCTCGGAGCCCAGGATGTCTGACTCTGGGGCCCTAGTTCGTAGGCAGGACACAAAACTGACATTCCTTGGAAATTTAGGATTTCGTTGGGAGGCCATGGTTTAGAAGGAGTGGAGGTGTGGGGTGATGGGACCATTTCTGCGCAAGGCTAGCCATGACTTATTCTTGGGCAGAAAGTCCAGAAGGGCTTAAAAGTAAGCATTCTGATTGGGAAGGCAGTCACCAAGTGGTTTTCTCTAGGAGAACAACCCCCCCTGCCTGTTTTCTCTCTCTCTCTCTCTCTCTCTCTCTCTCTCTCCTGAAATTCCAGCAGAGAAACAGGAAGTTGGAGGCAAGTAAATAATAAAATAAAAATTGCCCGTTTTTATTGTCTTCCGGATAACATCTGCCAATGGTTATATTATTGCAGGGACGTTTTCACTTTGGTTGTGCAATCCTCTGGCCCAGGAGACCCGGTAGATGGTGAAAGGCCGAGAATGGCAAGTGACTTCCTGTCCTGCTGTCTTGTGACCATGTCTACTCATTCGGGCTCCCTGGTGAACAAGATCCATTTCCTTTCAGTCGGAGCCACTGATGGCTAAGTATTGTCTCCTCTGAGCTTCTCAACAACCTTGTGAAGTCAGATCTGACACTCGGGGAAGTCAGGTCACTTGCCCGGATATGCTGACCACCAAGTGCTCAGATCTCCCCAGGCTGCCTGAGTCCAGAGTGTAAGATCTCTGCTGTGGCATTGTCTCTCTAAACCCATGTCCCAAGAATCTGCATCACCTGTTAGATCAAGGAAAAAGGAAATGCACTAATTCACTTGTTCACACATTCATCCATCCATCCATCCATTCATTCATCTATCCTACCATCCATCCACACATGTCCATCTGCGTCTGTACCACATGTGGGAAGCCAACAAGAAAACGTCTTCCCTTTTAGGTGTGCACCAAGCTCTTTGCTGGACTCAATACAGGAGGTCATATCTCCGCCTTAAAGAGACAGAGAAGATGTGAAGATGTATCAGTTAATCTAGGACAGCGTGGCAAATGCTACTATAGAGATACGAAGAGGGAGACCAGGAGAGAAGAGAAAATCAGTGATGGCGAACCTTTTGAGCTTGGCGTGTCAGCATTTTGAAAAACCCTAACTTAACTCTGGTGCCGTGTCACATAGAGAAATTTTTTGATATTTGCAACCGTAGTAAAACAAAGACATATTTTTGATATTTATTTTATATATTTAAATGCCATTTAACAAAGAAAAATCAACCAAAAAAATGAGTTCGCGTGTCACCTCTGACACGCGGGTCATAGGTTCGCCATCACTGGAGTAGACCCTGGGATTGAGATTTGAAGGTGGAGGAGGGAGATGTCACTCAGACAAAGAAGGGCTGGCCTGCATTTTAGGCAGTGGGTTCAGCAGGCATGTACTGCTGTGGCCATGCTGGGTATATATTTAACTAGAGGCCTGGTGCACAAATTTGTACATGGGTGGGGGCCGGCCATGCCACCCTGATGGGGGCAGATCGGGCCGGGCCAGAGGGGGAAAGGGAATGTGTTTGGGGGGCCAATAGAGGTGAGGCTGGCTAGGGGGAGGGGCTGCAGCCAGGTGCTGTGATGCCACACGGGTTGTTAGGTATTTGATTTTTCATGCCTGGGCCAGAGAGCAGTTGAGTGAGGGGAGGAGGGCATGGGGCATGCTGGCAGCCAGTAGGGCTGGATATAGGGAGCCACAGAGGTACTGGAGGTGAGACTGGAAGACTAAGAGTGGGGCTCTGGGAAAGGACCTTGTGTGACATGCGACAAGGGAGAGGCGTTATCCTGAGGGTGTTGTGAGGGTTTTTCGGGCATGCCATCTTCACTGATGTGTGGTCATACACGGTGTCTAACACCTACAGTTTGGTGAGTG